AGCATTGCAAATTCAGCCGACTTTTGCCCAAGTTTGGATGGAAACGCTGCAAAACAAGAAATAGGAGCTGGTGAAAGCACCGTTACTTATAGTTACTCTGTCGAATGGATTGAGGTACGACACGTATATACAGTGAAATCCGGTTTAACAAAGCATTGCGTTTCATTAGGTTGGTTTCCTTACCCCATTCCGATATTGAGAATAGCGCTATATAATGAAACTGATTTCGGAAAATTATAAGCATATCTTTTGTTAAACCGGACTTTATTGCATAGTTCTATGATATTATTAATATGCTTATGTTTTTCCCTAACATTTGTTTTATTCCTCACACTCGGCTATAACCAGGAAAAGGAAATCACATGGGGGAATCGCTGGGATAGATATTTGCTGAATACCGATGCTCAAATACACTGGTATTCAATCGTCAACTCTCTAATAATCGCACTATTCCTTACTGCGATGGTTGCGATTATCATGTTACGCACGCTCAACAGAGACATTGCTCTCTACAACGAGGAAGACTTAAAAGTATGTGTAACAAAGTGTTGATAATGTCGGAAACGCGTGTTGTAGTGTCTCTATTCCATTGACTAATACGTTGATCATGCAGGAAGATCAAGAAGATACCACGGGATGGAAACTCGTTCATGGCGATGTGTTTAGACCACCAAAATTAGGTGTTTTATTAGCACCTCTCGTTGGATCAGGAGTACAGATATTGCTTATGGGTGTTTCTACTATGGGTACGTCAATATGAAACTGCGAGTATTCAGTATTGTAATTAATTAATACCACATTGCCGTGAAACTTGCGCTGATATGCTATATGCTCGTATCTTTTTTAGTCTTCTCCATTCTAGGCGTACTAAATCCTTCATACAGAGGTGGTCTAGTATCATTTGCATTATTCTTATTTGTATTCTCTGGGTATGTGAAATTCTCAACATTGTCTCTTGTCGCACATACGTTGCAAGTAGTAAGCCCAAAACTAAAAAAAAAAAAAGAAAAAGAAAAAAACAAACCCCCGCAAAATAGAAGTAAAATGAACTGCTAATAATATACAATTGTTTTCTCAACGTATTGTAGTACGTTTGCCGGATATTATAGTTCAAGAATGTACAAAGTATTCAAAGGCACTTCATGGAAGAAAAATGCTGTTATCGTAAGCTATTTATCGTATTTATTTCCGTATGCTCAATGTTACTTTCTCACCTATTATTTGAGTCACAATGTTCTGTCTCTTCTTTTATTTTTGCCAAAAGACTGCTCTCTTGGTTCCCGGCTTTCTCTTTGGCATAATTTTCATCCTTAATTTCTTTGTCTGGTCCAAACACTCGTCATCTGCTATTCCATTTGGCACATTCTTTGCTCTTATTTCCATGTGGTTCGGTATCTCGTTTCCTTTAGTATTCATTGGAGCATACTTTGGTTTCAAAAAGAAAGCAATAGAACATCCAGTAAGGACAAATCCTATTCCAAGACAAATTCCCGAACAAGTTTGGTATCTACAGCCCTTTGTTAGGTGAGTTCGAATTCATAGAATATGCGGAACAGAGAGAAGGGGAAGGGAAAATTGAGTTCGATAAGGTGGACTGATAAAAATTGCTATGATTATTCTGTAGTGTTATCGTCGGTGGATTGATGCCATTTGCTGTAATCTTTATCGAATTATTCTTTATCCTCAAATCGATATGGCAAGATCAATTCTATTATATGTTTGGTTTTCTTGGACTCGTGTTTGTTATTCTTGTAACGACAGTTGTTGAGATTACGATCGTAATTACATACTTTCAACTATGCGGCGAGGTAAATAACAACAGCAATTATGTGGTACTTCTTTGTAATAGTATTAGCAAAATATTAATGTTGTGTATAATACCAATTCGTCCATTCAAAACTGTAGGACTATCACTGGTGGTGGCGTTCCTTCTTTGTGGGTGGCAGCTCATCAATCTACGTCTTTTTATATGGCATATTTTATTACAACAAATTGCAAATTACCGGATTCGTACCATCGCTGCTGTACTTTATTAATAGTCTGTTAGCGTGTCTCGTGTATGGTTTGTTTACTGGTACTTTAGGTTTCTTCAGCACGTATTGGTTTGTAAGGAAAATATATTCAGGTAAGGAATAAGGAAAGGACGTGGCGAGAATTCTGTTACTGTTAAACACGCAAATGCTAACAAGAGTTTTTTTATTATGCAGCAATCAAAGCTGACTAATAGGATAGAATGAAGGATGAAATGAG